TAGTCTTACTGGGTTGAGGAAATCAACTTCACAAGTACATCTTGGTTAGATAACAACTTGAAAAAAGATTTAGAGGCCTCAAAAAAAGTTCATTTGATGTTGGGCTGCATTAAAAGAACCTTAGCCAACAGAATAAGTTGGCTCTGGTCAAATCACACCTGGCTGTCCAAAAGTGAAATAGGCTCCCTTTAGTAGTAGTAGATTCCCTTTCGATGAAGGTCACGAAGCTGAAGGTGGATGGCCACTTGTTGGCAATGGACTTCCCTTTCATATATTTTTTTGTACTCGATAGCCATTGAGGTCATAGGATCATAATTCTAGAGTTAGAAGGGACCTTAGAGGTCATCTAGCCCAACTTGCTTATTTTCCAGTGAAGAATCTAAAGCCCAGAGAAATAAGTTAATCCAGATCACATCAGCTGTAGGTAGCAAAGCTGGGATTCAAATGCATGGCATTTAGTTCCAAATCCAGCATTCTTTCTGCTGCACACCCCCTAGTCTCTAAGTTGTTCTTGTCACGTCCTCTTCAAGTTAATTTCTTCTGATAGCCTCCTTTCTAAAAGTCCCATTATTTACATGTCTTTATGATTGCTCTCTCTAGTGCTCATCTTGCATTTTTCCTGGTTCATATTATTGACAGTAGGAAAGAAAGTGGATGGAAGCATATCTGGCCTTGGTATGTCTACACTGCTTTGTCACAAAGCTCGTCGTTTCTGTACCCATTACCACCACTTTCCATGTTCTTTTTTATTCTCATATGATTTTATGAGTTACTCTAAGGATTTTTACTTCCCCTATGAATGCTAGTTGAAACCAGTGATAAAAGCTCACTCACAGTGTCAAGTGATTTAGTTGCATTTTGTAGCTTCTAAAAGTAAACCAACCAAATTAGCCTGAGACTGCTTAATATAATAAGTCATGGTCTTTCAACCTGCTGGTCTAATGCTGAATTGGTGCCTTATGTTTATTCATAGCCAATTTTAAGGTGATATCAGAAGTCAGAGAGTGGAATAATAATGGCCAAGGGCTTTTACAGATCACTGATAGTCTAAAGTGTAGGACATTTCTTGAAATTAAATTCAGTTTGGCCTCAGAAATCTGGTTGCTTATTTCCAACTCATGAGACTTTTTTTCTTTAATTTTCATGCATTATTCTAACAAAAGAGATTTTGGTAACCTTACAAAAAAATCTTTCTCAAATTTTAATCTACCAGAAATACATAGAATATAATTATAGATTGGTAAGTCTCTAAAAGCAGCAGCAACCTCCCTCCCAATTATCTTAATTAAACATTGCTTCCATTTGACAATTTTGTGAGAGTTGGTCCTACCAGTTCACTTCCTTGAAGCAAAATTAAATTTGCCAGCTTGGGACAGCGTGTGGGAAATCTACTGCTTCTTAGTATGCATTTTTTAAGCCATAATTGAGCCATTGCTAGATTAACCATTTTAAAAATCTTCTTTTAACAGAAATACTCTCTACTTCTAACCAGCTACCATTTTCTCCTTAAAAATTTCCCCCAAACACATTAATTTTGAGAAGTTCATTACTTCTTTAGTAGTAGCATTGTAAAAGTAAAAAGCAGCTGCATACCTTCATAGCTCTGAGATTTAATCACTTTTTTAAATTGATCTCTTTCATATCTGCCCTATTTTCTGTCAGTCACTGTAGTGATCTTTATTCTTCATCCATAAAGCAGCCATCTAACTTTCTCTGACTATCCATCACACACATTTCCTCTTTGAAGACAGGTAGGGCTTGCGTTCTCAAATTAGCAATCTGGTAGTCAGTTCTGAGACCTCAGAGGAGAAGAAAGCCCAAAGCTCCCTTAAGTCTTGGGAAATAGGTAAGGCACAAATACTGAATAAATAAAGAAAAAAAGTTACCTAGCAGCAATCAGGTCTTCAGTCTGGCTCAAACAGCTTCATTTTGCTTTGGAGATGTCTTTGTTCTTCTTGGTAGATGAAAGGTTTGAAAATCCTTTAAAAATAAGTTCTGGTACTTTGTTGTATTTTGAAAATCCAGGATGGCAGCTGTGTGGATAGTTAGTGGTTTGATTAGAACCCTGTAGTTCCTCCAGATGTTTGAAGTGATTCCTGTGAAAAGATCCATGTGTATACACTGATACATAAAAAACTCTCTCATTATATTAACTATGCCTATTTGTCTGCTCCTTAAGCACTGTTTTGTGAAGTTGAGTAGTATTGTTCTATGAAAGTGTGAAGCTGCAGGCCCTCTTCTTCCCCTAAAACACTGTGATTTTTTTCCCCCTGAAGATAAAATTAGTGTGCTGCCACTTACCAGTTCTATGATTCTTTATGAATCTTATGCTGCAATTGAAAATACATTACTGATTTTTATTTTGAAGGACATCTATTTAAATTCCTGCTTTATTTTTATCATCACAATAACTTGAGATAGGTGGGGCTGTTATTATCCCTGTGTGACTTATTGGTCATGAAGCTAGCTATTGGTAAAGGTAGGACAGGAACTCTGTTGTCTTTACTTAGCCATGTGTTCTTTCCACCTGGATTTCCAGCCTGCCTTAAGAAAGTTTCTCATTTCAGCAACCAAGTTTTTGAAATAGAAATTCTCTTCTCTTAGTGTAGGGAAGAAGGGAGCACCTGTTTAAAATTATGTTTAATTCTGGTATTGGTGGAAAGGCTATTAGATGGGGATAATTTTGCATGCACATTATCTTTTGTGTGTATATCCTGCCTTAAGCATGCTGCCGCTACTAAGCAGTAAGTATAAAGTTGCTAGCTACATCCCTGAATAAAATATGCTTAGATGTTTCCATCACTAGTCAAAAGATAACCCATGTTATCTTCTGAATAACCCATGTAATCACGTCATATTTGTATAAACTATGCAACTCTATTCAAACTTTTCAGATTTTACAAATTCACTAATTCACCAAGTACTTATTGAGCAATTAAAAACTTCAAGACAAGCACAGCTAATTGTACATTTATACAGTACAAATATTGGGGCAGCTAGGTGGTGCAGTGGATAGAGCACTGGCCCTGAAGTCAGGAGGACCTGAGTTCAAATCTGGTCTCAGACCAAACACTTGACAGTTACTAGCTGTGTGACCCTGGGCAAGTCACTTAATCCCAATTGCCTTTAAAAATTTAAAAAAAAATTTTTTTTAAAGTACAAATATTGTTTTGAAAATAGGTACCAATGTTAATAGCTTTTGTATTGCTCTTATTTTAGAATATTATCATATGTTTCATTACTTTTCCAGTATATCTTCTAGTTATTCTACTAGCTATAACTTTTTTAGGGGCTAGGGAAAAGAAAACCAAGGGGTCAACAACCAAGCAAACTCTGCCTTCCACTCACTTGAGCTGGCTTGGTTAGGCCCAGAAGTCAAGCCCTTGGGGCTATGCCATAGTCCAGAGAGCTCCCCAAGTTATTTCTTCTTAGGTCATATTTTAGGGTATAGATTCATATTTGTCAGCAGTATTCACTGAATGATTCCTATGTAAAATTGTTCCATGCCTATAAGAGTTCTCAAGTGAAACAAAAGAGACAGCCCCTATCTTAACAATTGGAAATTGGGGGAGGAGGAAGCATCCATATATTAAAAAGCACCATAAATAAGTACAGAACACTAATGCAAACACCACTTGAGGAAGGATATAGGAAGTAGTATTCTTTTTACATTCCTACATTTGCCCTATATTAAGTGTAGTAGTAACTAAAAGTTCTTTCAATGATAACTGAGGTTTGTATTTTGATACAGTAGTTCAGGTTTGGTATTATTGGACCCATGGGATGACCCTAGACAACTTGAGCCCCTGAGTTAACCCTGGAATTAAATGCAGCCTTCCTGTAGACCCCCTGTAACACAGGAGCTCAGCTCCATCACAGATTCACTGGGTTCAGGCAGACTTAGAAGAACATTGGTGCCCCAGATAAAGGGTTATATTACTTTATTCTCACAGGGGCCAACAAGACAAGGGGTGGGGACATCTGTCCCTATGGCATCCACTTAATCACTTTATTCTCACAGGGCTGGGCAAGATGAGGAATAGGAGCACTTGTTCCTACAGCATCCCCGTAATTCTCAATAGTGGCAGGTCGAGAAAAGCACAGAGAATATCTGCATTCACATTCCGCACTTATTGACCAGTGCTCGTTTGATTTATAGAGAAGCATACAAAGAAGGCATTATGCCAACAATAAGCTCATAAGAGTACATTAAGTATGGCTACATAATGATGTGTCAGCATAAAGCAAATGCAGTGTGAAGGTGTTTATGGGCTAAGGATCCTGGGAACTTATATCAAATTGGATCCATACCACCTTAAACACACCTCCTTTAAGGGAACATATGTTCAGCTCTGCTAGTTTACATAATCACATTACTTCTCTGATAGTTTTCATTTTTGTTCTAGAAGTTGTAAATATAGATTTTTTCTTTTAATAGCTTATAGCTCTTAAGATTCTCTGGTTTATACTTTATAAATTCCCAGACAACCTCACATCCAGAAATACTATGGTGGCCAATGATGGGAAGTATTGGTACATTTCAGTAGACTTCAGCAGAATTCTTCCCAAATGAGAACTATTTCACAGCTACACACAGAATCATGGCTACATGGCATGTGTATGTGTGTGTGTTTTAGAATCTGGAAGAGATCAGGTCTCCTAAGCCCAATCCAGTGTTCTTTCTTGACTGACTGACCAACCAGGCTGCTCAATAAAATAATGGCATTTTAGTTTATCAGCCTCTATCTTTATACTGACTACCATAATTCCCTAGATGATTGTAGGCATCTTCCATGTTCTTATAGTGTAGTAATTTCCACCACCTAACTTTCACACCTATACCTTTTTTGAAGTGACCGTTGTTTCATATACAATTGTAGTGTATTAGCCAGTTCAGGGTAATGATAATATTTTCTCTGGAACTGTTAAGTTTAAATATAAATAAATTATGTGTCTTTTATTGTTTCTTTCAATGAAATGCTACCCCATTTTTTTTCCAGCAAGTAAATAATGGCCTTACACTTAGTGATCTTCCTCTGCACATGCTGAATAATATATTATATAGATTCTCGGATGGATGGGATATCATTACTTTAGGCCAAGTGACCCCAACATTATACATGCTCAGTGAAGACAGGCAATTATGGAAGAAACTTTGCCAGTACCATTTTGCAGAAAAACAGGTAAGATGTATATGGTGGTAGAAATATGTTTCTCTGCCTTTTGAGAAGACTATATGTAAATATATTCATTTACTCAACTGTGCTCTGCAAAGCATTCATATTATTACTGTTTCAGCAAAACTAGCTAGTAACATTCAGAAGCAGAATGAACTGCTTCATGAAGTAGTGGGATTTCTTCTGATGGAGGTCTTCAGGCAAAGGTAGGATGTTATGGAAGGAATTCTTGTTCAGGTAAAGTTTGAACTCGATGGCCGCAGAGGTCCCCTCCATAGCTGAGGTTCTGTTTGTGATTGTCACACGTTGTCTGATCCAAGTGCATTTTGTAGATTGTAGAGAGATATTGTTTGATATGTGGGAGAAAAAAAGTAATTCCAGAGAATAACATGATCAAGTGATGTGAATTCTCTTTTCATGTCCTTTTTGGTGAAGGACTGTGGAAGCAAATGTTGAATTTTTTCCCTTAAATTGTTAGTTTCCTTTTACCTTTACTGATATAAGCATGGATATACACTATTCTTCATCCTTCAATGAGCGTTTTTCTCTCAACTCTTTGCCCTTCCTACCTCTCCTTTCATCTTTCAAGAGAACTTCTTTGTATCTAAATATTGTCCACAAAGATCTTATTGTATTTAGGCTCTTAATGTGTAATTAGGACATGAAAATAAGAACTAACTTGTGTCAGACAAACTTTATGTGGAATTTATCTAATATCAGCATTTAAAATTGCTGAGGAATTAAAGTTACATAAGTCATGTACTTCATAGTTATGTGTCTAGTTCTCAACATGGCATAGCTTTGAAATTTATTACAGATTAAAAAGGAATTTGATAAGTGAATAGTAAAAGAAAGAAGATTAAGTTCTAAAGGTGAAAGGAATGTGAGAATTTGTTGGGAGTCAAAGAAGGACCCAGGAGAATAAGGTGAGAGAAGATTGGGAGTAAGAAAAAAGAAAAGTGTGGGGAGGTGCCTTATGAGATAAAAACCAAATCTTAGAAATTCTTGCTTCCTCTCATATATGGACATTGAAACATCATAAGGTGAATGTTCTTGAAACACCTGGAAGGCAGACTTTTTCTTCTCAAGGCATGTTCATTCTCCAGTTATGAACATTACATAGTCCCATTTTGGGAAGTATATTTTGGAGGCACTTGCCCTAATTCCTCTGCTTTCTCATACATATGCGTATATGTATTCTTAGTCTCTTAGAATTTTTTTCAGTCACTGTTATTGATCAGGACTATCCACTTTGTTGTTAATGGATTTTCCCAAGTGAGGAAATACATTGCATTTGTATAAATCCAGATTCCAGAGCATTATAGGAACAACTTTTCAAGGCTTCTGTGAAGTTCTTAGACCTTTTTGCTACAATTATCACTAAAGTAACTTACATGAGTCACTTAGCTTTTTAACATTTAGATTAGTTGGGTTTTATGTAGCAATTAGCACTTGGAGACATGACATTTATGTACAGATTTTCTTAGACCAAGAAGTATAAAAAACACATAATTGTCAAAATTGACTCACTAAAACTGTCTATAGTTTATAGATTTATAAGTCTACGTAGTATATGGTTTATAAAAATATTGAATATGAGATATATGAATATCATTTAGAAATTAATTTATGTAAATCTCATGCATTGAGAAATATTTCAGAATCTGTGGCAGGGTGGGGTGAATTCAATATAACAATTTTCACTTGAATCTCATTATTTTAAATCCTATATATACATGTATGTATATTTACATATATACATATACATATACATATACATATCTACATATAAAACATTAAAAGTTAAAATCTTACCAGAAGTTACAGGGTTAAGAAGAGCACCATGCATTTGTTTTCATATTCCCAATGTGAAATTAATGAAAGGAAAAAAATAAAAGCCAAATATTTGTTTTAACTTTCTAGGAATGCATTTTAAGTAATTTTTAAAAGATAATATTAGCCATATATATCAGTAATTGTTATCTAATGATCCCTTTTGAAACTCATCTACCTATTCACCTCAGTATAATTTATGACATTTAAACTGGGGGAAAATAATTTGTACCATAATTTTCCAGGATAAACTAAATGAAATTTATTTCCATTAAGGTAATATAGACATAAGATCCACCATGGAGGATTGAGAAATGAGGAATTTCCTTAATAGAACTGATGAATGAGTAACAAGGGGAGGCTGCAGATCCTTTATAAAAATAGATGGGTCTGGGACTTTCTGAGTGTTAATCTAGTTGATATTTAAGTAGTTGATTTAATTTAATTTGAAGAAAGCATAAGTTCAATGACTATATAATTATAAATGTACCATCAACTTACATTTTGTGTGTTTTATTCCCAAGTTTTCATCTGTTCATTTATTCATCCAACCCATATTTATTCAGTATCCACTTTGTGCAAGGCACTATCTCCTAAATTCATAATAGGTAATAAAATTGTCATGAGAGTACAACTAACATTACTCACATTGGTTCTTGTTCTAAGAATTGAAGCACATTTTCAAAGGTCATTAGAAAAAAGTGTTTGGGAGAAAATAATCCCTTTTTATTAGAAAACTGAATTAGTGTGGGTGTGCCTTTCACCAGCAGCAGACTGGAAGCAGCACTTCACTGGTTGGCTCTTTTGTGAGTTACTATGAACAGAAATATTCATCTCTTGTTGGTCAAACCTTTCTAACTTGCTAGGCTGAGACTGAGAGCTCAGAACAAGATTTTAACGGAGGAATGAATATGAGTTATAATTAAAGATTATGCCTTTTGGAGATTTGATGTATACTATCCTGGAGCATCTGAACAAACTCATTGTGACTTTTTTAGAAAAAGGAAAAATAGCACTCCAGGAAGGGTAAAGCTGCTCACAGAGCTGGCTCATACATACAAGCCAAACCTGGATAAACTACCTCCTTTTGATTTATACTGAACATTAAAGTTAGGACTCTTGGAAGAATTTCACAGACCTTTCTGAATGTGAACTTTGGGCTGTTTTGATGCTAAAAAAAAAATTCTACCTAAATCCCATGGATTCAATTATCATGTCTCTGCGGATGATTCTTAGATCTGTTCATCCAACCCTATGGTCACTTTCTAACCTCCAGTCTCACATCTCCAACTGCCTAGTGGATGTCTTGAATTGAATGCCCATAGATACCTTAAACTCAACATGTCCAAAACTGAACTCATTATTTTTCCCTCAAAACTAATCCCTCTTCCTAATTTCCCTATTACTGATGAGGGTGTTGCCATTCTTCCGATCACAAAAAGCTCCCAATCTAGGTGTCATCGTAATTTTTTGCTTTCACTCCCATTATCCAATCAGTTGCCAAGTCCTATAGATTCTACTTTCACATCAGCTGTCATACACACCCCTTACTCTCCTCTGACACTGACACCACTCTGGTACAGTCACTTGTTATCTACTCCTGCACTATTGTAATAGCCTTCTGGTGGTTCTTTCTGCCTCCTCTCTTCCCATTTCTGTTCATTTTCTACTGAGTTGTCAGAGATCTTCCTAAAGCACAGGTCTGACTATGTCACTCCCTCTAGTCAGTCAACTCCAATGGTTCTCAGTTACCTCGTATCAAATATAAAATACTTTGGTTTTTTAAGCCCTTCATAACATGGCCCTTTCCTACCTTTCCAGTCTTGTTATACGTTACTCTTCTCTACTATTCTATGATTCAGTGCCATTACCTTCTTTTGCTCTTCCTGGCATTGGATACTCTGCATTTTCACTAGCTGCCCCTCATGCGTGAAATGTTCCTTCTCCTCATCTCTGCCTCCTAATTTCCTTCAAATCTTAGCTAAAAATCCCACCTTTTGAAAGAAGCATTTCCCAGTTCCCCCTTAATATTAGAGCCTTCCCTCTGAAATTATCTCTAATTTACCCTTTTCTATCTTACTTACACATAATCAATTTGAATGTTGTCTCCCGCCTCTTCCCCAATTAGCTTATGAGATTTTTGAGGGTAAAATCTTTTTGCTTTTCTTTGAATCCCCAGTGCTTACATAGTGTCTGACACACAGTAGGGGCTTAATAAATGCTTGTTGACTTGACGTGAAAATCTATTGCAGTTTGTTAGATTTTAGAGCAGTTTAGTCAGCATGACAGAAATGAACCAAAACAGAATTCCAAGGGAGGTATTTCTTTTACTGTACTCACCACTAGAATAGTAACCATTGTAACCCAAAATCATTTAAATGTACAATGCTTCATGTACTCACTCATAACATTTCTTGAGCATGGAGTTAGTGCAAGTCTCTTCAGCCTGAAATTGTTATCTGTAACACCCATGTCATAGATCCTATGGTAATGGTTTAAAAGATTCTAGGATTTATGACTCATTGTTTAGCATTGATATTTAAAAATTCTCATACATTGTAAAAAGGACATTGCCTGTATTTAGTTTTCTTTGGCTTTAGATCTGTTTAGCCACAGATACATCTGGTCCTACAATATATAAGATAAAAGAAAAGGCAGCCAGTCAGAAATAATTTATTAGGCAATTATACTGTGTGCCAAATACTAAGCTAAGCATTGAGGATACAAAGAAAGGGAAAAAAAAGGGTGTCTGCTCACATTCTGATGAGGAAAGCAATACACAAATCACGTGTATATAGAAGACAAATTTAGAGTAAATGGGGTCCAAGGAGGGAATAACCTCAGAGGAGAACCATTAAGGTTTGTCAGCCTGACCAGAACTGGCCTCTTACTTGTGGGTGGCCAGAGCCCAACGAAGCAGGCTGGAGATGGAAGAGTCAGGAATTAAACAGAAGTTTAATTTCAGAGTGAGGGAAATGGCTTACAAGCAAGGACACATGTGCTAGAGCCCCACCCTTGGGGTGGGGGGAGGTGAGGCCCAAGGCAGTGTGGATAGATCTCCTTGTTGTTTGTCTTTTGTTCTAGAAGAGGACCATGATGTCAGGAAGGTGATGCCATGACTTGCGAGTGAACTGGATTTAAGTGAGGGAGGGCAATACAGTCTGGTGACCAGCCTCACTATCTCAATACTTTTACCAATGGCTGTGCTGGGAGCTGCAGACCTGATAGTGAGGGGTAACAGCAACAATGTGACAAGTTTGATTCATGGCAGGACTTCATGACCAGAACATGGGTACTACAGGTGCTTGTCCAAACTCAGAGACCACCTGATGCTGGTGTGAAACAATTCTGGGATTTTGCTGGGACTGAGATCATCCACAGGGTGAGCGCAAAGGATTATTGTTATACTAAGCTCAGGGCATGGCTTGCTTGCTGGGCCTTAGCTCTGGAAAACAGGGTGTCTTCCTAATATCTTGACAGGATAGGGGATGGGGAAAGTCCTCCTGAAGAAGGTGACATTTCAGTTGAGTCTTGAAGAAAGCCAGGAGGCAGAGGTAAGGAGGGAGAGTATTTAAGTCATGGGCAATAGTTAATGAGAAAAAATGGAGTGAAGAAATGGGACTCTTCTGTGAGAATAGCATTTAAGGCCAGTGTTGCTACATCATAAGAAAAGGTGTAAAGTCTAATAAAAAGAAAAGGTAAAACAAACTTGACCATTTTAGTCTAAATATAGGCCAGACCCTTAAAATTAGATTGTCTTGAAAGGAAATATCCATATAGTTATACAGTGAAAAATAATACCAATTATAGGCCACACTCAGGTCTTCTATAACTCAGATTTTGTGGGAAAATGTGGTTTATCAAACTGATGCAGCAAATACATTTCCAAATGCCATTTTCCGTCACTGGGGAAAAAAATAAGTAACTTTGAATCAAGACACCGGAGAACTGTGAGCATCCATTCACAATGACCAGTCTGGGTTTTTGTTTTAAGAATTTTATTCCTCTAGAGCTAGAGAATCTATTACCAGTTTGTTTTAACAATGCTACCTTAATTGTAGCACTTTGAAGAGATCAACAGCTAACACTGGAATTTTTTTAAAAAGTATGAATGAATGTTTCTTTTAAGGGGAGAAGAAATAAGAATCATATAGATAATTGAGGCTATAGATTACTCTCCTCAAAACTTGAAAATTATGAATTCTTAAGTATGCAAAGGGTCCTAATCTAAGAGTTAATATTTTATCGAAATGAATTCAGTTTTTTACAGCAATTACTTTCATTTACATTTTATGTGGTTTTAAAAAAAGAAATAATTATTCTTAATGCTATAATTTGAAAATTATCTTCTGATTCTAAAAATTTGCTTTTCCTTCTAGTTCTGTAGACATTTGATACTCTCTGAAAAAGGTCACATTGAATGGAAGCTGATGTACTTTGCACTCCAGAAATGTTATCCCATCAAGGAGCAATATGGAGACACTTTGCATTTTTGCAGGCACTGCAGCATTCTTTTTTGGAAGGTAAGTTTTTAAAATATACTGGGATTCGAGGTGTTAGAATTTAAAATTAGAAATTCAAACAAATTGTTAACTATTCTAATATATGTGTGTATGTATGTGTGTGTGTGTGTGTGTGTGTGTGTGTGTGTGTGTGTGTGTGTGTGTGTATAAAGTACGATTGATAGTTCTAACTTCATAGCAATTACAACTACCTCGAAAAATTAAATGACCTAGCTGCCTTTTTACACAGTGAGATGCCCACCACTAGAAGTGTTTGAAGTAGGGGTGTCAGGGACACTGTAGAGACGATTCTGGAATGGAGTGGGAGGATATACTAGCTGATAGGGAGGAGCTAGAGCCAGCTCATACATGCTAACAAACTGATTGTTAAATTTTTAGTGTGAGCACTTCTCAGAAAGCAACAAATGCTACAAAATCAGGGCTGAATTTGTTATTTTGTTGATTGTCTAATCTTGAGAAAGTAGTGGAGAGAATATTAATAATTCAGATTAAATTTAGAAGTATGTCATGTATACTTTCCACAAGTTATTAAACATTCACCAGCACAGTCTGGTGCTAGGTGACCAGTAAGGGCATCCACCTCTAAGATTCTGTGCTTCTGTGTAATCATTATTAAAATGTATTTGGATATTAAAATCCAATTGAAATCAAATGAAAATGAGTTAAATTAGACAGCTTTTTTTTCACATAAGTAGACTACTTGTAATATGTATTTAAAGAGTTTTGTTGTTTAACTGCTTTTCCAGTGCTGCGTCAGGCTAGGACTGCATACCCTGCAGAACTGTGCAAGTGAAGTTTCCTTTCCCCTTCCGTCCTAGCAGTCTGGTTAGAACAGGTGCCTCACCCAACTCTAGTCTGGAATTGTCATCTTGAGCCAACAGCCATTACACACAAAGAGCTCTAGAATTTCACTGCTCAGCTCTTAATGTTTTTGTGCTGAGCCTAGGCCCAGGGATCCATGTCTAGCCCTGGAAAATGCCAGGGTTCAAAAGGATGACTATGAGAGTGCAGCACGAAGAGCTTTTTGACTTACGCAAGCTGAGATCTGAGCTGGGTATCAGTCCTGTACGGCAGATAATCAGGCCTTTCATGTCATTGGGTTATTAGTTTTAAATAATCACCCACAGTAACAATGCATTTTTCTAGTTCTTATAACTTTTTTCTTTCCCTTAACTTGAATTAGTTTCATAAACAATATAGTTTTAAAAAATCTTAAATTTAGAAAATAACAGGTCTGTTATGAAAGAAATCTTAGCTATATTGATTTTACAGTCATAAACACAAGAGTATTTGGTTATATATTTGTATGACTGAGGGTTAACAAGAAGCCTAACTCTTGAAAAGATGATTTAAGGTCACTTTTTTTTTTAATGACTCCTGCCATCTCTGAGAAAATATCAAAAGAGTAGGTATTGAAATCATTCTTCCTCATTTTTTCATTATTTCTTTTGCTGTTTGCTATCCAGAAAAAAAAAGTGCAGAAAAAAAGTATGCTATTTATTCAGTAATGTTTCTACATATTATTTCTTTCTGTTCTGATCAATAGCATAGCAACAGATGATCATTATTGGCTCTTTGAAATGCATTTTTAGTGCTTGAATTTGAATCTGGATGTATCTAGTATTCAAGGACTTCACTCCAAACAAAACAATGAGTCTGTAGAGGGGAAGACCCAAGTTGGAGGAACTGTGAACCCCTTGTGGGTTCACCATGCTGACCCTGGCTCTCCTCAGTTCCTCCCTCCTTTCTGGGAACAGCATCACCTCTCCTACGGATGCAAAGAGTGAAGCTGACCTCTGCTGCTCTGTTCCTGTCTTTAACCTTGTATTTGTCTGCTTCACAACTGCCTTTCAGCTAGGAGCAAATCTTATTTCTGCAATTTCTGAATGTCTTTGATAGGTGACAGATTGGATTTGCTTTCCTTTTGTTATCTGGAAATTTCTCTTTCATTTGCTCCAAGGTGGTTTGTAATGAGAAGTTGTCAGAAGAGATAATTTAAGTGAGTTTTCAAAGTAGATTTTTAATTTCAGATTATAATTATCATGGCTGTACAGCTATAATTTTTTTTGATCCATTGGTAGCTACAGTGGATAATGAAATAATGTCCAGTACTTCTTAAATCTCATCAGCAGCAGCTTTGTTTTTACCAGACTTGTGATTTCATTGGTATAGGGAACTCCTGGTAAAGAAACTCCCTCCACCAGTGCTAATCAGTGCATCTCCTCTACAACTTAAAGTCTCAGAGAGCTAGCTGAGGCACTGAGAGGTTAAGGGGAACTCAGCACCGGAAACACAGGAAGTCTGTCAGAGGTGGGACTTAAACCTAAGTCTGCCTGATAAAAAGCATCCTATAGAATTACTAGCCTTTGCATATGTAACTTAAAATAGGATTTTTTTTTCCTAGCTTCCTTTCCCAATGACTATTTTGCTTCCAAAAGAGGGGAAAAAAGAGCACACAAGATTATAATAGCCAAGATACTAAGATCAGCATTGAAAATAGTCTTTTTTTTTAAATTAATGAATAGTTTTAAAAGATGTACAGATGTGGGGAATATTTTCTCTTAGTTTTCCGAGATGGGAAGTTTTTTCTTTTAGTTTCAGTATACTTGTGAATATGATCTTTAATATAAGTTTTCTATAACATATTCTGGGAAGAAAGAAAATGAAAATCTGATTTAGTGGCAGAAAAGACCCAAGTTTTAGTCACACTTCTGCAAACTACTAGCTATGTAACTGTAGACAAGTCCCTTCCCCTCTCTGAGTCTCAAATAACTCATCTATAAAATAAGGGGATTGGGCTACATAATCTCTAAAGCCACATATCTAAGGCTCTACAACATATTTTGTTTATATAAAAAGACTTAAGTCACATTGAAAATACATGGCCTTTCATCAGACAACAAAAGGAAGTACATGGCATAAATTGGCAAAGATGGAAATACTCTGTGTTGGAAGGGATGATGAAAGATTGGCACACTGATGCAGTGGTTGGTGGAATTATGAATTAATATAACCATCTTGGAAAGCAGTTTGTAATTATACAGATAAAATATCTAAAATGTCTACTCTCTGACCCAAGGATTCCACTACTAGACTATATTCCCCAAGGAGGCCACTGGTTAAAAAGAAGTCCTATAATCATTTGCACCACCTACCTCATGGAGGTTATTGTGAGGAAAATGCTTTGTAAAAACCATATGGCATTCTAAAAATATGGATAGTTTTTTAAGCAAATTGAAAATATAAAGAACTGGATTTACAGAAAAGATAAATTATTTCCTATAGAACTTGACCAGCAGCTGAATATATATCTTAAACAGACAGTAACAGACAATTGGACAGATGGCCAATGAGTTGAGCCTGAAGTTGAATAGGAGGAAAAGAAAGTACTGATTGCCTTACAGATATTGCAAAGCTTTTTAAACAATTCCAAGGTTCCCATGGAAACAAAGGCTCATCTTTTTAATACCAACATTCTACCAGTGTTACTTGCTATATGACAGTGAGACATGAAATACAAGTCTCTGAAGAACTTTTCAAAAATGAATATAACACACAGAGGGCATTGAAGAGGCAGATGCTTACTGTCAGCTGCCGGCAACATGCAGACTTCAAAGAATAGGAGCAAAAAATGTCACCAGTGATTTGAATAATGGGAAGAAAAGATGGTTGGCCATGTGTCAAGGGCAGGGTGACAAGTAGATAGCCATAATTCCCTACTAGTACCCTAAGTATCAGGGGAAGGACACCAGCATGATAGACAGACTTTCTGTAGATAAATTATGAGGGGACATGGACAAGAGTCCCAAAAGTTGGGGCAGAATGTATGGGTTGTGATTTTCATTGTTGAGGTGAATTCCACCCTTCCCAAATAAGATCCCATATAAATTAGATTCCGTGAAGTCAGCCCTTCCAGGACATGACATTATCAAAGAATTTGTACAAATTCTAAAGCAAGCCTAAAATGAAGTAAATATGTATTTTTAATACTAAGATACTTTTTTATTATCTTGTTCAGGGGGATATAGAGCATACTTCTGCATAGATAATCCTTTTTAGTAATTGCAGCTATTGAAGCAATAGCTTCTTTTGGGGGGGGGGCTAGGCAATAGGGTTAAGTGACTTGCCCAGGGTCATACAGCTAGTAAGAGTCAAGTGTCTGAGGCCAGATTTGAACTCAGGTCCTCCTGACCCCCAGTTCGGTGCTCTATCCCCTGGGCCACCTAGCTGCCCCTACAGTAGCTTCTTTATAAAGGAACAAGTCCCAAGAATAATCAGCTCACTTTTGTTATTCAGTCATTTCAGCTGTGTCTGACTTTTCGTGACCCCATCTGGGGTTTTGTAGTCAAAGACACTGGAGTGATTTGCCATTTTCTTCTCTGACTCATTTTACACACGAGGAAACTGAAGCAAACAGAGTCAACTGACTTGCCTAGGATTACACAACTAGGAAGTGTCTGAGGCCAGATTTGAACTCAGGAAGATGAGTCTTCCTAACTCAAGGGCCAGCACTGTCAATTGTACCACCTAGAATCTCTTTGCTTAGAGTCAGTAGTCTTTATTTTCCTATATCAGCAAATCGCCTGGGGGGGGAAATAGCATATTAGACTTCTCCCACATTTTCTTTCTGGAAGAACCCAAACTGTTTTTTATTCAAAGGTTAATCCATTCAGTATGCCTGCATGTACAGTTCTTACATTGGAAGGTTTACCAGCTATAGATTATAATTCAGGAATCTCAGTGAAAGGTCCTCAAATCCAGCTTTCCCCATATAGGATCGTAGGACGATAGATTTTGAGCTGGAAGGGGCCTTTGTGGCCATTTAGACCTATGTCCTCATTTTACAGAAGGAGGAACAGAGACCCGGGGAAGTTAAGTGACTTACCCAAGATCACACATAGAGTAAAAAGCCAGATTCTCTGACTTCAAAGCCAGTGTTCTTTTCACTGTACCATGTTGCCTTTCATATCATGGGCATACAGATATATTAGTCATACAGACTGCATATGATAAATGGCAGTGGCGAAGCACAATAAGCCTTTCAAAATGGATTTTTATTCCTACTATATCTCTGCTCTACCTACCAAAGCTGTAATTAGAGTGAGATAATAATAAAATAATAGTATCTAGCATTTTTATAGAACTTTAAGATTGAAGAAAAAGCATTGTACATATCTTATTTAATCTTCATACCATTCCTGTGCAGCAAATACTAATATTATCCTCATTTTATATGTGAAAAAACTGAGGCTGAATTAACTTTTTAATGATCTCTGACTTGCTTGGCCAGGGTCACACAGCTAGGAAGTGTCTAAGATGGGATGTGAACTTAGAGCTTCCTGACTCAGAGTCAAATACTTACTCATCTATGGCATCTATCTCTAAAGATAATCAGGTCTTTGACCCAAGGATCTTAAATTTGGTTCTGACAGCTCTTCTGCTCCTTTAGCAGAAAGAAACAACTGTGCTCAGCACTTTGTTAGCAAAAACAATCAGTTAAGATGGGAAGATACCAGATGATGTTCCTTCTTCACACCCCATATCCAACAATGACTGCTGTTCAAGTGAACTCTTGCCCAGCTCTGGCTTGTTCCACACCCCTAAGGGTTGCCTCCTCAGAATCAGCTTCTTGGTGTTCTCGGGTTTGTGCCCACTGGAGCCAAGGTCTCCAGTTTCCCCTAACACAAGATAGTGTCCCTAGGCTCTCTCCCACTGTGGAGCCTTGTATTTTCTCCCCAAAGTCCCCATCTTCCTCCTTGCCTTTGAAGGATGCTTTTCATGGTGCCATTCCCAGGTGCTGCCATTGCTAGGTCAGGGTTTTGTAACCTGCTCACTCTTTCTCAGGCCCAATTTTCTCTTTTCAACCTACTATCTGCAGATCCATTGCAAAATTCAGATATCTGAGATGGGTCAATGCAGAGAGCTTGCAGAGCTAGATTCTTTTGAATATTTCAGCTTGGTCTTTTGAGTACCAATACCCGTGATGGTTATCTGAATTTCATTTTTGAATGTCAGTAAGTAACATTATACTCATCCAGATCTTAGTAAAACTAGAGGTGAACTCTGGGAGAGGGTCCTTGTGGTCTCAGAATTTATAGGGATAAAGTATATGAGTTAAGGAATGAGGCAGTTAGTGGAGAAGGGGTCATTCAGTCTCTGCATGAAAACATTCAATGAGAGGAAATCAACAACCTCCCAAAACTTAAGGAAAGTCTCCTTAGAGCTACCCCCATGAGGAAGGTAGCATCAGAAGCCAATTGCCATTGTTGGTAAAAGGATACCACTGCCCCCACTGCCAGTACTAAATCTGTTCAAAACTCCTAGTGCAGTAGAACAGTCTGCCTTCAGCTCAAAGCTTACAGTAGCCTAGTCTCTCCAAGATCAGGAAGAGAAATCTATCTCTTCCTGAATACAAGTCCCAGGATTCACAGTGAGGCTTTGGATCCCTCATTCACTGCCTGCCAAAAGGTCAGTTGTCTCAGAAGCCCAGTTTACACTGGGTTTGGGGGAAGTCAGCAGTTGGATAAAAAACAAATCTTTTTATCAGTTAAAAAGGCGCTTTCACCTATGTATTATAGCAAATTGGGAAAAAATTCCTGATGACCAAATGTTCTTCAGTTCAAAGTTTCATCAGAACAGAAATAAGGGAAAGATACTAATCATGTCATAACTATAATGACCCACAACTTTGCATTGTTTACTTGGCTTTTTGTTCCTTTTTTGAGCAGTACTGGAAAGTCTTAAAAACTTAAAGTAATTGGACAAATTCCAAAATGATTAATGAGGAGAAATGGTGAGGCATTAAAATAATCTAGCCTAGAAAAGATATATAGCTATAAGAACACAATTCAAGTATTTTGAATACATTGTGACAGATATATTTTTCTTCAAGCAAATAGGATATTGAAAAATCCAGATTTACAAAAGGTAATCTGGGGTATGGAGACTTATTTTACAGAAGACTTAGGTTTTGTTTTACCAGGTTTTTTTAGTTGCTTCAAATAGAAATTTCCCATGTCACTTTTAAAAATATGCTTTACTTTCTCTATTTTTTGTTTGTTTTTTTAGGCAGTTGGGGTTAAGTGACTTGCCCAGGGTCACACAGCTACTAAGTGTCAAGTGTTTGGTCTGAGGCCGCATATGAACTTAGGTCCTCCTGACCTCAGGGCCGGTGCTCTATCCACTGCATATGGTTCACTTTCTAAAATTTTTTATTTTTACACTACTAGATAATATTTTTGGAACTGAAAGGGACCTCTGAGGCCATCTCGTCCAATCCCCTTAGTTTTCTGACAAGGAAACTGAGGCCAAAGTGGTTAAGTTACCTTAAGTTACATAGGTATTAAGTGACAAAGCTGGGATTTTAACCTAAATCCTTTGGCTGCAAATCCAGTACTTTCCATTGTACCACGTTATTGCATCCTTATAGAAACAGACATAAGGTATGATATATCTATTTGGTCAGTAATAACATGGTCATAGTCTAAAGCCCTCCTACACTGCACTTCTAGTGAGAAGGGGCTCAGTACAGGAGGAGGACTGAGTGGTTACATAACTATGCAAGTGGTTTACAGGTCATCCCTCACTGCTTCCCTTCCTTAAACAATTGAGTTGACTGGAAGATAGTGACGATCTACCACCCTTCTCTAATGAATGATAAACAAGAGGAAAATACATTGTCTTTGCTGTAGTCATGCTGTAACTTGAACCAGCTAAAAGCTCGCTGTTGGCCAAGCTGAACTTCTCTGCTGCATAAATTAGTGATTTAATTTTATAAATTTCATCTTATCTGCAACCATTTTAGGCAGGAACAATTTCTTTATAATAGCATAAAGTACAGTCGTCCTGCACTCAAGATTTGAAGAACTTAGGACCATCAGATGTGAGGTTTTAAGCTCTGCCCCACCCCTTTCCCCCTAATTCATTTTAACCTGTTTATTAGAGAAGATGTATGCTAGATTAAAAGTACCTCTGCCCAGGCATAGGGTTCCCGGGACAGAATATTGTATACATTTTCAGATGTAGGCACTCTGTTGGATCTTTTGGCTCCACTGGGGTTGGGGTAGGGTTGGGGTGGGGGTGGGGGGAAAGTCACAAGAGGAGGGTTCAATCTGGAGGAGGTATTTTTAAAAATAAGTAACTGAGCCCAACTACCTCCTGTTTTATGTATCTGGTTAAGTGGGTGTATGACTTCTCTTGTTTTGATTTTTGACTCATGGTTACCTAGGGAATAAAAATTGTTAAAAATAATTCAGTGAAATTAGTAATGGTCAGAACATTTTTTTTTCAATTGAAGCTAGGGAAATAGCTTGCTTTTTATAATTGCATGGATTATCTTTCAGGGCCAAATTACTTACCAGTTTCCTTCCCAATACTTTTGACTTGTAGATAAAAAGAAAAGTTACATACATGCACTCAATAATTTATATTCTTAAAAATAAATCATTAGAAGTAAGAATATGGTAGGCAAATCTGAAAATGTCCTGTTGTGTTTATTGAAATATCTCAAATGTGTATTATTCTAGGATATACAACACGTGTTATATATGTACACTATAGGGTTCAATGCATGAAAGAAACAAATGCTGATCTTATATTTTAAAGATTGACTACTTCTTGCTAAAGCATGTCTAAGTAACATAGCAAAATGTTTCCCAAAACATTATTGTGATTTGAGGTATATAAAGTAGAAATATTGGTATTTCCCTGTGTCCTTTTCTAGGGATATTTTTTGGAGTTTACTTTATGTAACTGCTACATTGATAATTTATCCCTTTGAGAGCTCTGAAAGGAAGAGCATGCTTTTTTCACTGTCCATGATGATTTCTTCGAGTCAATGAATTTTTGAGATACTTCTTGTTGTCTTGTGCATACTTTTTTTTAAACTAAGGTTCTGTATGCCAGGATTTCATTTCTTTAGTTTGGCAGTTTTGGATGAAAGAGAGAGAGTAGGTTTTTTTTGTGGTGAAATTGAACTTTCTTTTTACAAATAATGTGTCCCAAACCTAAATACTTAAATTCTGTCTGACCCCTTCCCAAACTTAACTTTTCCTTTTTTACTTTACTGCATTCCCTCCTGCTTCTTTCTTCATGATCTTCAAGGACTACCATCTTGCTTTATTATTTAAGGTACTTTCATGTTTTACCACATACACTGTGTCCGTCTGGAATAAACAAAACTAGAAGTAATGTTGCATCTTGTGTCACTTGTGACTTGTTCTGTTACAGTCTGTACTGGTCAGTCCTAACTCAAGAGTTTTTCATATTTTGTATTGCATGTTTATGTGAATGACTTATTATTTTGAAAATATGAAAGAATTGCATGTGTCCTGTGTATTCTTTATTTCTCCCTATGCTTTACTATCTGTCTCCTAGCATTCAGACATTCTTATAAAGATTTTAAGACTTTTTTTGTATCATTTTTCTTATTATGTGAAACAGATACCACTTATATTAGAAGCCATCAGTAGCAGTTCTAGATTTCCTATGTCATGCATGTTGCCCATTTTACTCTGTGTGAGTTATTACTGCCCAACTAAGCTACTCTAACTCCCACCCTTAGCAGTACCAGAGTTGTATAACCTCTTTCTTCCAGGAACCTAACTAAGGCATTAGGCCTTTCTTGTATTGACTTCCATATTGAAGCACCTAGTATAGTGCCTATGGCAAACATCATTGTAAAGTGCTTTCCCATGCCCCTAAAAAAGTAAACTTGTATTCTTAGCAAACAGAAGAAAAATCTGAAAGTGAGAATTAATCAAGTAGTGCATTTGGAATAAGAGAGACAGGAATGGGGATCAGTGCTGGAGTAAAAGGAAGAAGGAAGTAAGAATGGGAGGAAATCAGATCACCTCAGCTAGGGCTGCAGACAGCTCTAGGGTTTTAATAGAAGAGAATATTCTTAGGCATAAAAATGAAATCTTTTTGTTGATACTCTTATCATTTTAACCTTAAGAATATGATCCTTTTCTTGGGGACACTCTCTAAAGGTGAAGTATGTTTATTATTCTTGACTGACTTAAATAGTAATTCCCAGAGGAAATCCCTCAACTGGAAACTGTCATTGCTGTAATTGCCTGAACAATGCTGCTAATAAAAAAATCAAACTTTCATAAACACACCCTCAAAATAGTGTCAAATATCCTTGTACATTTCAGCAAATAATTGAGCTTTAAAGAAAGAACTCTGCACTTTGGGATATTACTCCTATTTTTGCCAGCCTGTCTATGTAATGTCCGTCTCCTGTCCTCTCGCCCTCTACAGGATTCAGGACACCCCTGTACAGCTAACAATCCTGACAGCTGCTTCATGCCAGTGTCACCCCAGCACTTCATTGATCTCTTCAAATTTTAAATGCAGGCCTTGCACTTTGCCTCTTTGTTTTTAAAATGATGTGTGGTATGCTTTATTTGCAAGATCTAATGGTAAATGTGTGTGGTAAAAAGGGATTGGGTGGGGGTGGGGCATCCCATGAAGCCTGGGTTTGCTGGAATGAATATTAAATCATTTTCGAAGTACATGATCTAAAGAGAATGTGAGGTAAAAATATACGTACTTTTGCAAATTGTAATATTTATTATTTGACTAATGAGATGGGGTGATTAAGGGAAGAGGGACTCACACAACATGTATTAGTTCCTTTTTAAAAAAGTTTTGTACACATTAAATTTTGCACATTTATAAATATAATTCAGCTAAAATCTTTTGGACTTTGAGAGTCAAGCCATTTACTAATAAACACTAATGGCCAAGTACATGCAAATTTTCAGTTAAGGTTTTCCTGTTTTGTGGCAAAGGATCAAACTGACCCTTCTGTATATACATTATGCAGAATATTTATTTTTCTTAAACTGTATTTTAGTAACTGCATTGGATATGTCCAAACCAGTTATTATTGATGTGCAACTAATCTAGGGAAACAGTAGCCATATTGTTTTGATTTGTATTTGTTAAATGGGATAACATTTGTGCAAAATGATGTCTAGGCTAAGGAAAATTATAACCTTTGACTGTCTTGTCTTCAGGGCAGCGAATGGCCCAAGCTACTGGAAAGACCTCTTACTTGCTAAAGCACTTATTTACAAAAGCACCGACTTTTTTGTAGCAACTTTTTTTTTGTATCCTAAGCAGAAATACAGAAATAAATCCAATGCTGAAGAAATTCAGGAGTTAAGCATTTGTCCAGAAATTTAGTCACGTACAGCCCAAAACATATTCTAAAATATTGCTTGTTTTCAAAGTAATTTTGTAGACAAATGTAATAAATCATGATTATCTGTTGGTTTCTTTTTTGTCATTCTTTTAAACTTTAATGAAAAAAAATTAAAATCATAGACTCTGATCTTAGAGATCCAACTTACTTGACTCTCTGCCTGATATGTGAATACTTCTTTGCAATTTCTCCAACACATAGTGAGCCAGCCATTAATATCTTCAGGAATGGAGGGAACTCACTACTTCAGAAGACATCTCATACCTTTTTCTCCTAGGTGACAGAGTGGATAGATCACTTATCAGAAATCAGGAAGACTTGAATTCAAATCCAGCCTCAAACACTTAATAGCTGTGTGAGCCTGGGCAAGTCACAACCTCTACCTCAGTTTCTTCATCATAAAAAGGGTAAGAATAGCACCTACCTCCCAGGGTTGTTGTTAGAATAAAATAAGATTTTCATAAATGTGATTTGTGAACATTAAAATTCTATATAAATACTAGGTATTATTACTATCCAGAATTGCCTCTGGTGCCACATTAACGAAAGAAAAATAATTTATTAAGCACTTACTATGTGCATATGTTGTTGTTGTTAAGTCATTTCAGTCATATCTGACTCTTCATGACCCTATTTTGGATTTTCTTGACAAAGATACTAGAGTAGCCTGCCATTTCTTTCTCCAGCTCATTTTACAGATGAAATTGAGGCAGACAGCATTAACTGACTTGCCCAAGGTCACACAGCTAGTAAGTTTCTGTGGCCAGATTTGAATTCAGGAGGATGAATCTTTCTGACTCCAGGCCCGGCACTCTTTCTACCATACCACCTAGCTACTATACATATGCATGCATACATATATGTGTATGTTTCTGTGTGTGTATGTATATGTGTGTGTGTGTGTGTATGTATACATACATACGTATGTATATATATATATGTAAGTAAAATGCAACCAGTCCTTGCCCTCAAGAAGCAAGCATTCTAATGAAGGAGACAACATATATAGGGATGATCACTGAACTTATGGGAGCTGATGAGATCACCAAGAAAGATAATATCCAGGAAGAAGAGAAGAGGACTCTGGACAAAACCTTGAGGAATGGCCAAATTTGGCTGTGATCTGGATTAAGATCAAGCAGAGGAGACTGAGAAGGAATTGTCAGACAAAGAGAACTAGGAAAGAACAATGTCAAAAAAATCTAAATAGGAAAAAGTATCCAGGAGAAGAAGGGGATCATTAATGTCAGAAGCAGCAGAAAGGTCAAGAAAGACGAAGTTTGAGAAAAGACCATTAGATCTGTGAGAGAACTTTGGAGAAAACAATTTCCAGAACAAATTGGAAGCCAGCTAGCAGACAATTATAAAAAGAGCCAGAGAAGAAGAAGTGGGGGCACTGTGTGAACAGAGTTCTCAAGAAGAAGGGAAAGATGATAGTGATCAAAGGAAAGTTGTTTTTGTTTTTTAATGGCGGGACAGAAAGTATTAGCATGCTTGTAAAGTAACATGAAGGCAACCAATAGATTAGGAGAAACTAAAAATTAGTGAGAGTGGGGATGACAGTAGGGACAATCTGCTGGACAAGATGGGATGGAATCGATCAAGAGTGGTCATTTACCTAGACAAGGAGAAGGGTCACCTCTTGATGTGAGACAAATGAAAGAGGAGAGTGGAGGAATGAGGAAGAGAGAAAAGGGAACTCTTAGTAAATAACTTTTCAGTAAAGTTCTCTACTGGAAGGAGAGGAAGGTGTCATAGGGGGCTTGAAGAGAGGATAATGCTCAGGAAAGCACATTGATGAGTATGATAGCAAGCTGATTAGGGAATCAATAAACATTAACTACCTACTATGTGTGTTGTGCTGTGCTGAGTACTAGAGATACAAGTATGAAAAATGCCCTCAAGGCACTTACAATCATATGGGAGAAGATAACACACTGAAGGAAGCTGAAAAGCCGGAGGGGGAGGAGGAGGGAAGTACCTTATAGGGGGCATGATGGAGGCACTTGAAGGAGTACATCTGGATGACAAATGAAGATATGGCTGGCCTTGGTGCCCTCCTTCAAAGGAAATTTGAGGAGGTATAAAAAGGACTGACTTGCTACAGTGCTGACCCAATTGAAGTCATGCAATATAAAGTTGTAGTGTTCCCAGTGGGCTCAATTTCTTGTACTCCATTCACATGAACATGAGCAGAGGAGACAGAATAATTAAGATTCAACAAGATGTTACTGTCATAGGGCAAGGACACAGAATTCAAGGAAGGAAATAAGCACCTATTAAACACTTACTACGTGCCAAGCACTGTATTATGTGCTTTACAAAAATCTCATTTGATCCACATAGAGAGGACAGTGTAGATTTAAACTGGTTCACCAAGCAGTCAAGATAGGAAAATGAAGATACTGTAGCCAATATAAGGGCAATGTCCTGGGAAAGAACATATGTTGGAGGTTATAGGATGAAGAACAAAGTTACAGGTCATAAGGCATAGGGAAAGACAATGATAAGAGATTATGATCAGATAATGAAATTTTGAAGTTCATGAAACTGAAGGTAGAATGTGTATGTGTGTTATGGCAAGATCAAAAGTATGACAATCTCTGGGTCATTAGAATTGACTAGATTTATTAATTGCCAAATTAGGATATTAGAGGGAATATCACCATGTATAATGAAATCCTCTAATACAAGGTCAAGAGTTGTAGTGGAAAAGACTTGAGTCAGGTTCTTTTCAATCAAGAAAGATGAAGAATGACCACCAGTATCTAGATGGAGTGACAGATGTGAATAGTGTGTACTTCAAAAAAGCAGAAATGATGGTAGTAGAGGGAGAGTCTAGAACTGGAAATGGGAAGCAAGGAGTGTTCCCACCCCTGACTATGCACAGTGAAATGTGACAGGGCAGATGAGTGAAAATGTAACCATAACTAGAAAGGGTGGCCAGCGATGCAATGTCATTTGGAGAGGTCCACGTCTTACTGAGTGTCAGATGACAGGAGTGAGAAAGAAAAAAGGTTTAAAATGAAAGCAAGTTTATTAGTGATGAAGCACACATAGAAGAGAACACAGTGGAAAGGGCAAGTATATCTGGAGTACTGCATTTAAGGGGTAGAGCTGAGGAGGATGCGAGTAAGGGAGCAGTCATTTGGGGATGGATAATAAAGATTTTACTTCAGCAGCTAGAATCACTGGTATGGGGAGAGTAAGACAGGTTGAGAATATGCTAACCATCGGGTAATTAGTCTAAGTAGAGTATCTATGGTTAGAGAGGTTCATTAAGGGAAGTAGGTAATTATACTATTCAAGCTCCGACCTTGAAATCCAACCTCATAGGAGTTCAGTTTCTGGTAGGAAGGAGGTGGAGATAATGGCCTGAATGAAGACAGCATATTTAGAGATGTCTGGGTGATGCTATGGAGGTCTAGAGCCAAGCAGGATAAGGCCAAAGTTGACCCATCAAAACCCAGGGAAGTTCCAAAGGCAGAAACCTCTGGTCTGGTAAAAAGTGACAGTGAAGACTTCAGTGGAAACAGCATGGCTGGTGATGTCCATGTCCATCACTTGAGGTCTTCAAACAAAGTCTAGTTTGTAGATGTTGTAGCCAACCTTTACTATCTTTTTACATATTCTCCCCCATGCATTCTATCATACAGCTACACTGGCTTACATGATATCATGTAAACACAATATCCTGTGTCTATGCCTTTTCACTGACTCGTCCCCTTTCCTGTAATGCCCTGCCTCCTTAACTTTGTCTCTTCACTTCCCTGGCTTCCTTCAAAACTGTTCAAATTGTACCTGCAAAAGGTCTTTCCAGGTCCCCCTCAACTGCTAGTGCCTTCCACTTTAAAATACCTTCCACCTACTCTGTATATATCTTGTATACAATTATTACTTCCATATAAATGATTCTCAGATTTATTAATCCAGCCTTAACTTCTCTCCTGATTTATAGTTTCACATCTCCAACTACCTATTAAACATCTTGAACTGGATGTCTCATTTATGTCTAAAATGGAACTCAGTAATTTCCCCCCAACCCTTAACCTTTCCCTGTCCCTTACTTCCCTCTTACTGTCAAGGACCTTGCCATCCTCCCAGTCATACAGGCTCACAGAAAAAGTGTCTTACTCAATTCTTCATGCTCACCTGTCATATCCAATATAATGCCAAGTCCTGTCAATTCTATCTTCATAACATTTCTTGCATGTGCCTCCTTCTCTCCTCTGACACTGTCTCTGCCGTGGTACAGGCCCTTCGTCCCCTCAAGCTGTCAAAATGACCTTCCTAAAGTGCAGGTCTAACCGTGTCATTCCCTTATTCAGTCAACTCCAGTGGCTCCCTGTCATCTCCAGGATCAAATATAAAATATTCCGTTTGGTTTTTCAAACCCTTCATAACCTGGCCTCTTCCTACCCTTCCAACCTTCCTACATTTCATTCCCCACCCCCATTTACTCTACCATCCAGTGTCACTGGTGTCCTTGCTGCTACTCCTTGGAAAAACCTTCCATCTCCTGGCCTGTACATTTTCACTGTCTGCCCCCCACGCCTGGGATGTTCTCCCTTCTTGTTCTCTGTTCCTGGCTTCCCTGGCGTCTTTCAAGTCTTGACTAAACTCCCCCCTTCTCAAAGGATCCCCATAGCCCTTGATGCTACTGCCTGATCTCTAAGATTACCTCCGTTTAGCCTATGTATTTCTTGTTGTTGTCTCCCTCATTAGACTCTTACTTTCTTGAGGGCGGGGACTATTTTTTCCTTTCTTTGTATTCCCAGGACTTAGCACAGTACCTGGAAATAATAAGCACTTAATAAATGCTTGGTGGTTTTACTTATTTGCCTGTCATTCCTCATCTTGAGGGACCTAGGTTATCCAGGAACTGGATAATGTATACTACTGGTGCCTGGTTCTAAATAGACCCATTTTGGATGAATGTCGCCCAGCAAGAGCAAACCGTGCCTACAGCACTGTTGTAAAGAACAGCTTTGTAAGCCTTGAAGTGATGCATCAATGTGAAATCTTATTTTTATTCTTCCTGTCATTCTTACAGTACCTCTCTTCAATCTTCA